TATTGAGCACATCGATAAACTTCGCAGAAAACAATCAAGCATTGTTTCTTCCATTAAGCTAGCCACCGGCGCTTCTGCTGGCACTGATCACATCGATTCGCGCATTTTCTCCCTCAAGTAAGAAACACTGAATCGTTTTTGGTCGTTTATAAAAATATTTGCGAAATTTTCAAGGGATGATTTCTGCCTCTCTCGCTCTCTCATTCATTTCACCACTTCTTCATGCCTCATCCAGTCCGCTGGTCGCCCCACCTGCTTCTGCAATCTCATATTTCACTGCATCAGGCAAAACATCCGCTGCTGCTCGGGAAAAGGCTTTTTCTTAATTCTCTGGCCTTACTCAACCCGTTTTGGATTTCTTTCTTGATTTTTTACATATCGATATGTTGTGCTTATAAAGCTTTCACTGCAGAGCGCGAATGGAGAAGATTGCGCTGGCGATGAATGAGTGTCATCAGCGATGGGTCGAAATCGAATCGCTCTGTGGCTTTCCAATAGTCACTTCGCCAACTGGTAACTCATTTTTACACGCTGTTGTTCTCCTGACACTTTTTTCTGATTTAGACATCAGTCACGTCTGCTATCACTGTTTTTGCAATCAGTAATCATCTTCTGTTAACTTCCTTTATAGGCGGGCTGTAAGAGCAAGGTAAAGACCGTAATAAACCGCCAGCACTACTCTATTAACTGGAAATTTTCCGTTTCGTAAGTCGATTAGGTTATTTCAAAAAGTAAAGGAGCAACGGATAACGGGATTAAATGTGATTAAAAATTGAAAAAAATACCAACTATCTAACAGTGTTTTTGCTCTGCAAACGGTCAAAGATTTTCTTTCGCAAGTAGGGCAACGGGTCCTTCCACGATCGTTTATTTGTTTCGATGGTAAGTTGGTGCTGGCGCACGCTAGAAAATTGAAACAGCCATCAGTTTGCCTGTAGTCGACTCGGAGGAGAAATCCATTGATAGCCTTACTAGCGGATGGTTGCTATTGGCACGTGCTAACGCTCGGACTTTATCCGATTGCCCCTGTAGAGGGCAATTGCGGAGAAAAGTTGAATGCATAGTTTCGAACTGTTTAGTTGACATTTTCAATGCACATTTTTATATTCCTTGCTTTCGTGCTGCAAATAAAGAGCAGCCTTATTGCTCTAAGTTGCACAGTAATTGTAAAAGGAGATGATACACTGCTGCGATGGAACTGCGCTGTCATATGAGGCCCAAAAAGTCAAATTATACAGAGATGCGTAGTGTTTTTATAAAAAAGTTTACCAGCTTTGCATGATTTGTGGACAACCACGACGAAAATACATTTTGAAATTTAAGTGATTTTGAGTATGCACACCCTGCCCTTAAGATTCTTTAGTGGGCGACACTCGACATTAATTTTTTGTAGCTACAAAGACTGCACTGA